ATGTAGCCCCTATTCCTTCTGGACCTCCGGACCTCCTGTCCCTCGTACCTCCAGGCATCCTGTCCTTCGGACATTCCACCCTCCATACCTTCAGATGTTCCGCCCTCCATACCTTCAGACGTTCTGTCCTCCTAACCCTCAGACATCCTATCCTCCTGTCCTTCAGACCTCGGACATCCTGTCCTCCTGTCCTCCTGTCCTCCTGTCCTCCTGTCCTCCTGTCCTCCTGTCCTCCTGTCCTCCAGACCTTCAGACCTCCTATCCTTCCATCCTGTTTCCTGTAGAAGTATTACCTTGCAGTGGGAACTCTCCTGTGCTCCTCCGGAAGTCCTCTAGTGCTCTCCAGCAGAGTAGCCAGCCTCTGGAAGTCCTCTGGACTTCGTCAGACCATTATCGGACCTCATATGAAATGAAGGGCACATACTTGGGTAAGGGGCACAGTATGAGCTGAGGCCAAGCCCCTCTGAGTCAGTCTCTCCCCCTTGAGCAACATGGTTCTTAACAGTGAGGAGCAACAAAGTAGAATGAAGCAGTCATTAAGTAAGTGAAGGCCTGTACAGCTGTTCTTATAACTCACACATCAAGACAGCAGAGACCTCATTGTACTAGTACGTGCATCATGATCATGATGTAGTAATAAATTAAAAAATTGATCAGCTTCACTTGGGTAGGACACTCCAACTGAAGCAGCTCATCAAGACACATCCCTCTCATCTGAAGGCACTCACCATCTGAGTTACATATTTAAAATGAAGATACTCATTCCAAAGTTATTTGATGTTTGAGTCTTAGCTTCTTGAACAATGCTTTAGTGCGGATCCCATAGCGTCCAGGGATCCATCAGCATACCCTATAGTACTGCTGTGAGTGTTGGTTTGTTCTTTAACATCACTTAGTCTACTCACTATTTGAAACAGTCATGCCTGCTTTCAAAGAGGTGCTGGTGTATGCTGGAGGTGTCACCAAGAAGACTAAGAAGTGCAGGCCTTTGCAGCATCATGATGTCAACATCCTATGCTATGATCTAAAAGGAGCCTGGCTTACGTTCAGGAAGTGACTAACCAGCCATGGCTATTCCCATCAGACTTGGAAGTTCGAGTATCATGAAAGTGTAATGACTTCAGGTTTGAGTGATAGGGACTTGGAACTACCAGTAACCTCAGGTAAATTTGATTAGGATATTGTTAAAATGTTAATAGCTTACCCCATCCCCTCTTGCCATAGAACTCATCTTATACTCAGGCTAGTAAGTGAAATCAACCAACTGATGACAAGTTGGTCTATGGTAAAATCATCATGTCATGGTGACATAACCTAAGTGGACTGGCAAGCTGACTCGAGCATTCAAGTTAGGTTGAGCCCCCATAGTCTGTAGCAAAGCACACAGTACTTACTCTGTGACAGCCTGAGAGGTAAAAGTGTTCGACATGCATCCAGCTCAGATGGTGAATGATATACCTTATGCACCCCACAGCTTGCTCTTCATGACTCGGATAACTTGTCAGATATTTGTAAACTCTCCTGGCTCATGCCCCCCGTGACCTTTCTCATATTGCTGTCCTGCCAAAGTCAAAGGATTCCTACCCCCAATGATGATCTCCATGTTGTCATGATTCAGGTCTAGCCAAGCGCATGGTACTTACTATCAGCCAGCCGCTATCACTTCTCCTAAAGGCCAGCCCTGCTATGACAGAGGTAAAGTGTTCCACATGCAACCAGCTTAGATAGTGGTCATATATCTTATGTGGCCGCAGCTCACTCTTTATGATATCATAAACTCTCCTGGCCTGAGTGGCCGCAGACCTTTCTCATATTGCTATCCCTGCCAAAGTTGAAGGATTCCTACCCCTGATGATGATCTCAAGAAAGCAGTTAGTACTGACTGGTGCTAATTGACATGATGTCATTGTGATTCCTGTTGGTATTTTTAGAAAGCCTGGCATGGGTTCTCATTCACAATGCACAAATCAAATGATGGCTCATGTGATTTCTTAGATGACTCGGCCAGTGTTGCTATTTGGGCCATTATATATTATTACTGATATTTATGGTGCCATGTAGGGATGATTTGTTCAAGGTTAGCTTACTCAGCTATATTTGGTCGTCTATCCACTTACACATTCACAGATCAATGCTGATATCATCTGCGATCTCACTACTGGCATCATTGCCACCATGGCCCTGAAGGCTTTCGTCCTTGTTATTTCCAACCAGATTAACTCCACATTCAGAAGGGACCAACATAACATCAGATTGATTCCCTGCTCTCTCAATCTCCCTTGACGCCACCACCCTTGATGGCCTCATCAACCTCATCCAATTTGGTGGAAATGAGGTTGTCAAGGCAAAAGATGGTGCTGGCTCAGCAGATCTTTCCATTTTTTACATAGGTGCTAAGTTCACTGGGAAAGTGATTTGTGTTGTAAACAGCGAAAAGTGAATTGTCACCCCAACATTTATCAACCTTGCTGCAGGTGGTGATGCCCTCAAGAAGGAAATTAGCAAGGATCTAGATTAGTTCTCTGCTCCAGTCGAATTCAGTGTGGGTCAACAGTGGTGCTGAATGTCTTTGGCACTGATGACATCCCAGGTTAACAGTGTCACCGAGATCCATTGTCTTTGTAAGATCACCCCTGCTGATAAAGCACTTGTCAATGTTGCTCTTCCCAACATCTCTGCTAACATCAAGAACATCTGTATTTTTCTTATCCAATTCAACCTCACCTAAAGGTATCGATATTCCAGGGTGTTGCTTTCATCAGGCTTCCAAACTCTAATCTATACTGCAGTCATCTCAGCCTGTATAAAATTCATTGAAAGTGTACATTATTTACTGCATGGCTTGCAGCCGCTTCCACTGCAAGACCATTGGCATGATGTCGATGGACCCTGGGCTCAATACACAGCTTCTTGACCCTTATCACTCCATCTGTGATGCAGGCTTTCTCATATGTGTCATTCGTCTTTCAAATAGTTGGCTCTCTACCATATCATGACAGTCTTGACCATTTTGGCAGATAACACCCATCTTAGACAATAAGCTTATGGTGTCTAACTGCAGCAACAACCCATCGCACTCAATGTCAGTTACGGGATGTGGCCCATTGCAGTTCTTGGCACATTCTTCCTGTGGGCACCTCTTCACACTTTCTATTTGACAACGGCTGTTGCTGTTGCACTAGAATTCCTCTTTGCTACCAGGGGATTCACCATTGGCTGGCATATGAGCCTGCTTCCTGGCATCCTCTGTTCCTTTGTTGTCTTTTCATGGTCACTTCCTAGCATGGAGGCACTGACTTGGACACTAATATTTGGTATGTTTTTGTGCTTTTCATTTGTCAGTTCTGCATTCACACGTATTTCCTACAGGCCTTATTGCAATGAAGATGGAGGTTTCATTCATCCCTGCCAAGGTGATCATCTTTGGTACTGTGATTGGTGATTGGGCCATTGCTCATCATTGGGGCATCGTTGGGATCGCACTTTGGCATGTTGAGCTGTCTTGTTACCAATTCTGGCTTGTGTATCACAGCTTGAGTGAACAGGTGTGCGATCAAAGAAATATTGGAAGGAACAAGTGTCTTGTCGTTTCTGCTTTACACTTTGGTATAATTTCCCTTGCTGACTGCATATATGTTTCTCACCCACATTACACAAGTTTTTTTTTGTTATTGAAGCCCATGATATTCATGCGACACTTCTGCTTTCAATCATACCAGCATTCAGTTTGCGAGAGGTTACAACCATACCCCTTTACATAAAAGCAAGTCAATGAAACAAATAGAACGCATTGATATGAAAAGCAGGTTTCTCTTCAAGTTAGCTGTTTTTAAAGGGTGCATTGCAATCCAGCAGTCCCTGTGGCACCCAGTCTATGAACATCTGACCCTTGGAGATTCTTGCATGTCCCATGTCATGACCAAGGGCGAGTGCACCATGAAGTCCTTTACTTACTGTGATGCAAAACCTGCAATTGGAGCTAACTTAAAGTCATAGCAGCTTCATCATGGCAAGGGATAAAACGGTCCCTTGCCATGACCAATTTTTCCGGCCGATGTTGCATTACACGTGACTGATGCATGACTGTGCGTAACTAATGTGCCAAACTTAAGCTTCAAAGCTCTCCTTCATGGCCACCACCCAGGATGATGACACCTGGTGTTTACAGGCAATATGGCCAGCAGCATCCAGTGCAGTGCATCAGACCAAATGTTACAGATGACTATGAAGGTGTGTGCCTGTTTGCATGTAAATTTTACTGATTGATGACTTCAGGGTGGTATACTGAGGTGACACCCAGCAATTGTATGGTCTTATCAATATGCTCCAGCATAAACTCTGAGATTGCATGGGCACTGGATAGGCTGTATCGATCATGTGCAAATGATCAATTCATCTTGAAAGCTATTCCTGGTCTAACAGATGCACTGTTTGAATGGCTGGAATGGTATGTGACAGAAGGATATCTGGTGGCAGAGCAGTATTGACTTTTTGCTATGCCTGATGCTGAACACAAAAAGTGATGGCATGCCCTAGAATCCATATTCATCCTCTGAAATTCAGCCACAAATGAACCCAATGCATATGAGCTAGCTAATCATTCCTGAACACTCCCACTACTATTCAATGCCCTCACCAACTTCACTCCAGACACAGACATGAATGCTGAATTTATTCTCAATGCCATAGAACTTCTGCAGGCCATATCCTTGGGCGCTATCTTGCCAGATCCCACTTTGAACAAGAGAGACCCCCTCCCCACTCTGCTGCAAATTGCAGGTTACTCATTGAATCACTCCCTTATTGTCTCAGCTTTGACCCTTGAAATGGAACCCGATAGTTGCAATCACCGAGTCTGCTGCCTTGAACGCAGATACAAGCAGCAGAGGTCAAGACATCCCTCCTCAGATACCCTTGGTTCCTCAGTCAAATCTCATTTTGCCATGAACTATGATCATTTGTTATGGGATTGGGTGCCACTCTCAAGTGAGAGCAGGGGGTTCAAGGCGGTGTGGCATATTTTCGTTATTTGATTTTTGATTTTTGAGCTTGATTCGCATAAGGGCTTGGGCCACAGCTGGATCACAACATTCCAACTCAAAGTAAACTTTGTTTTGTATTTTGCTGGATTGAACAATGGTTCTGACTTCAACTTCTAGCTATCATTTTGACTATCATCGACATTGGGATTCAACTGCTGATAGGCCAAGTAACCGAGGACATCTCTTGTGACCTAATATTACCATCATGATGTAGGTATCAAGTCACTGCCTTTGATGTCATTGTGACAAAAAAGGAAGTCAAAGAACTACAGTTCGCAAATACTAAATATTTGGTTCGCACCTTGCAGGGGGCAGGAGTTATTGAAACATGAATACACTTGAAAGATATATCGAGGATAACATTCACAAGAGAAAACAAGTTGAGGGGGTTAAGGATGAAAGGAAAGACCAACAGAACAAACCTCTGACTTCATGTTCTGAGCTTGAGCTCTCAGCTTCTCTCAACTCTTAATTCCTTGCTCATGCAACTCAAAAAAGAAAGGCATGTTTAGATATGATGTCATTAACCTAGGAGAGTACATACTTTGCACAACAGCTTGTGCCACAACTTGAATTTGGGCGATAAGGCTTAATCTTCTAAAATAGAGAGCTGGAAGCTGCACATGGGGGTGCCTAGGATTGATCTGTCTTCTATACTCCAATCTCAGATTTGGTGTAAGGTCCATATAATAGTCTCTTCTCCAAGGAAGAACAATTGTGTAGAATGGATCAACTGGATGATGGATCCAAGGACATAAGATAGGGGGGCCCAAGTGATATGTATCTCCTTTATCCAGGACATGGAATAGTGGAGGATGAATGAAGGGTCCTCCTGCTGCATCCTCACAGAACACTGAGCCAACTTGGTGTCCTGTGCAAACAATAACCAGTCTCGCTACCACCTGGTTGCCAGGGTAGTTGACTATATCTATAGATCTAGCACATCCTACAGTCTTCACAGAGAATGATCCAATAAGCATGATGAGGGTAGTATGGGCTCAATTAAATTAACACTTTACTTTGTATATTTACAGTGAGTCGCAACTACTAGCTAAGAATAGTACTGATGTCATGATATAAATTTGATATACAGTCGCACTGTATTGCCATCAGTTCCATATCAATGGTGTCCACTGCATCATGCTGTGCAGCACTGATGCATGCCCTGATTGATGATTGATTGATCCTCTTGCCACTGATCTATTCCGCGAGCCACCCAGTTGTTCAATGAGATCAAGCATTACACTACACTTCTGTTGTTGATGCTCAAATTCCTTCACCTGCAGTTCAGCTCGTACTTCTGTGGCTTTGTATGCAAGAATAATTTCATGGATCTGCGATGTCAAGCCTTCAATTGTGGAACCCAGATATTGCAATGTTTCAGGGGCAAGCACAAATTCTGTTTTGGTGTTTGGAGTTGCAATACGAGGATTACTAGGCAGGCCAGAGGGACATGAAAGTGCTGGAGGTGGCACAAAAGGCTCCGTGCCTAGAAGTGAGATGTATGCCAATGGTCCTTCAATGGGTGCAAGAAAATCTACCATTCCAGAAGTTTTATTTTTGTCAGGAAGATGAGGGGTTGTTCAAGAGAGAGAAAGATTGGTGCGAAGGTTGAGGGGAAAGGATATGAAATGGAAGACAAAGGTAAGAATTAGGATACTGTGCGAGAGATAGATGTTGTTTGGTACAGATATAGCAATAATCGGATTTGAGCATCTATTGACTGGTGAATTATTAAGATTGTAGAAGCTTATTCATCCACATGCCTTCAGTCCACTGAATAGGTATTCAGCAAGGGCACAACATGCATGCCTGCCCACTTTTGCAATGCTTGGTTCAATGCAACACCATTGTTGTCATCTGTGTGGAGTCTGCCAGTGAAGCATTGCAGCAGGTCTCCAAAATTAAGGACATGGACACCAAAAGCATGGTAGACATAGACAGTATTGTCATGTATTGGATCCATCAATAAGACAGGGTGGTTTGCTTGAAGGAGGTCGAAAATGGGTGTGCCCAATGACAAAGGAGCTGTCTATTTCAGCATGGAAATCAAGTCCAAGTCTATGCACTTGTAGACTGCTAGCATAGGCAAGTCCTGAGATTTGTCCTGGAGTTGTGTGCATAAGCAGCAATGATACAAAAAATTCAACAACAAACCTGTTTACTCTCCCACCATGCTTCAACTTTACCATCTTGATCACAGACAATGACAATTCAAGACGTTCAGTCTCACTGTCTCTGGCTCAATCTTCCTCATCATAGGGTGGCAGCAGGTCAGATGGTGATATCACCACTTCACCCTGTTGTACATAATGAGTGGACAGAATGAAGGAAGGCAAAGAACCAACGTACTGTAGAAGAAGAGGGCCTCAATACCATCATCCATTTATACTTTGCCACTGCTTTTCTGAATCAGTGGTGCTGGTGTGCAATACACTTGCTGAGGCTGATTTTCATATATAACTCAATCCAAGTATTAATTTGTGGAATGGCAGGAGTGTTGACATTGCAATAGGATTGAATTTGAACTATTTGCATATGGTAAGCTAGACGTGATCTGGAGCAGCTGAAGCTCTTGGACTTACATAAGTATTATCAGCTGTCCTGATCTTAGTATTATGAGTTGGAGAGGGTGGTGCACTATCAGGTGCACACCTAGTACTATGGCAGTCCTGCGAATGCACCATGCCTACAAAAGTCCAGTAAATAGGGGTGATAGGGTGATGCTTGCAGGGGTGGGCCCAATGCACCAAATATGTAGGTATGATGCAGAATGGTCTTAGGGCTTTGCTGCATGTTACAGTCAGGTACCATGTGTGCAGCATTTGTGCACAACAGGTTGATGTACCAGGAAGTGTTAGTTGGACTGGACACATTGCTTTGGCTGGGCGTTCACAATGTCCTTGTGCATTGAATCCCTTGTGCTGGGGCATGCTTATTGTTTGGGAGTGTTTATGGAACAATAGCGCCAGACAGTCCAATCATGTCTTTGACCTAGCTTTGCACTCTAGTGGGTGTCCAATTGGACATTCACATGAACCAAAGGTATAAGTTAGCAGAGGGTGTTCTCAAGGATATCCATCTGAACGTGTCTCCACATCCAACAAATTGGGACTATCATGGCACATCGTTTTCCAATGAAGCGCTCTTAAGACGGGCAGCATGCTCTTGGCAGTGCTGGGGTGCAAGGATGTAGGGTATGAAGGTGGACAGTGAGTGAGGTGCCTGGCCAGGGTGGCTTGTTGATGGCAGTGCATTTGAAGGATGGTGGGTGTCGAGAGCAAGAGAGTGATATTACGTAAGCTGGGACATGTCTTTTTATGCCATGCACCTCAAGAACATCAACCAGCCACTTCGTCTTTTGATAGAGAATGAGATATTCAGACTTACAGTCTGGGCTAATCCTAGCAATGAAGCAAAATGAGGCAGTGACCTTCACGGCTTGCTCGAGCGCAATATGCTTGAGGTAAGCACCTTGATGGTTTTGTGAATGGAGATTTATGTATTTCAATAGTCAACTTGGCCTGGCATAGTCCGAACAGTGTGGGAGGTAGACCCAGCCATAGTAGTCTATCTGACCAAACATTTCAAAAGCCCAGCAGCTTATGCTGAGGTGCAGAATCTGGTTCAGTCTAATGCTAGCCAGGTAGTTAATACTCTAGAGGCTCTATGATTTTTGATTGGGGATTCCTTCTGAGGTGGACAGAGACGAGAGCTGAAGGTGATTTCTTTTCCGCAGTATTGTTGTTCAAGAGTTTATGTCTTTGTCAGTACATCATCGTGTGGGTGCCTGTCACTCCTGTGATCGCTGTTACTTTCTTTGAACGATGACATGGAAACGATCCACTCTTGCTACAATACACCCATCGAGTCCTGAAGCAGCATCCTGTTGACTTGACATTCTTTTTCGTTCCTCAAGTCGTCCAGGCCCTTTGGTTTGATGACCTTGGTGTGTATTTGCAGCCTCTTGCTGCTGTAGTTTCTGAATGTATCTTTAGGATATATCGCACAGTTCATCTTCGAAACCACAAAGGTGTTGCAGCTCTTTTGCCACCAGATTATATGGAACATGAAAGCCAATTGCTACAAGGATGATGCTGCCAAGATTGTGAGTTTGATGCATATTTTCATCTGTGCTCCACTGACATGAGAGTAGGAAGATCCTTTGAAACCCACACTAGATTGGATGGCTGATATGGTGGTAGATTCACTGTCTGGTGATGCCTGTGCCTTTTACAATCAGGAATTTGGATTCTTCAACAAGGTAACCTCGATCCCTGGGAAACTGAAGCCCTTCATCAAAAAGTTGAAACCTGAGAAAAAGGTGAGACCCTCGAAGATCATCCTAGGATTTGATTTGATGTGTCTTTACAAGCAAAGATTGACAAAGAGATGGCCAAGATAGTTGTTGATATTGGTGTCTACCTTCCCAGTAACCCAGAGGGTAGTGCTATTAACATTGATAAGAAATCTGGTTGACCTCTCCAAAGTCACCCTAAGGTGTGTAGATCTTTCTTTTGCCTAAGTTTGTCTCAGTACAATTTCACCTAAGGCACCGTTCATGGCCACTTTTAAAGTGAGGAAGGAGCACATCATTATTGATTCCAATCCAAAGTCTCTTTTGGATGGTGCACTCAAGAAACACGAGGAGTATGACATTTGGCAACAGGCCATCTTCAAAGTTGGCGATGACTGCCAACAAGATGTGTTGGCCTTACAGATCATTGCGATGTTCAAAAATATCTTCACCAGCATCGGGTTGATTCTCTATCTTCTCCCTTACAGATTTACTGCAACTGCTGTTGGAGTGAGTACTTTTTCTTTTCCATTCACACTAACCATGCTTATGCATATCACAGTGTGGTGTCATTGACGTGGTGCCAAATGCAATATCTCAAGATGAGATGGGAAGAGCCACAGTAAACAACCTGCTCAACTTCTTTATTTCGAAATATAGAGGAGAAGAGACTGTTGCATCCCAGTGTGCTCGCCTCAATTTCATCCAGTCTATGGCTGCATGTTTTGTTGCTTGCTATATCTTGCAAATCAAGGACCGTCACAATGGGAATATCATGATTGATGGTGAAGGGCACATCGTACATATCGGTAAGTTTTACCCATCTAAGAGTACACCAGACTTTGTATTCCTATTCAATATAGATGAGTCTTTCATTTCATGACTGCTGATATGCTTACTGACTTCGTTCTTGTTGTCTATCTATGTCCTGGAGTAAGTCCCCATCATGATACCTTGAACAGTTTTCTAACTATACTTCACAGGGAGTCAAGTTTGAACCTAGCTCCTTCAAGTTAACCCATGAGATGGTAGTTCTAATTGGCGGCAGATACTCTCAAGGCTACGAACTGTTTCAACATCCAATGGTGAAGGCTTTTCTCACCATTTGACCTCATGCAGATCAGCTCATCAGCACAGCCCAACTCATGCTGGGAACTGGTTTCCCGTCTTTCAAAGGCGAACTGACTATCAAGCACCTCAAAGATCAGTTTGCGCTTGGGTTGAATGAGCATCAAGCTGCTGAATGGATGATGGGAATCACCCACAATGCTCATGAAAATGTGAGGAGCACAGCCTATGACGAGTTCCAATGGGTGCATGATTCTTGCTTGTGATCATTATGCATCCTCATATGATTTGCTCAGATACAAAATGGTAAGTCGGATGTATACTCAATGCAATCCCTTTGGGGCCTGAGGTGTTTGCAGGCATACCATACAAGTAGTAAATGCTGCTCAAGAATCGATGGATAGTATTGAATTTAGGTATACAAATGTATTAAGGCTGAACCGCATTTCAAGGCCTGGGTGTGCTTGTTGCATATTTCCTAAGCACCAACAAGCATGCATTGTACCCACCAGCCTTGCTCTCAGAAGGAGGAGTGAACTGCCTGTGTGTGTGTGTGTGTGTGTGTGTGTACTACAACTGTGTGCATCCGTGCATCTACTCTCTGGACCCCGGACACCCTGGACCTCTGACTCCACCTAGCCTATCTCCCATGCTGACCTCACTCTGGCCTAACCCTGAATGGCCCTTGCCTGAAGCTCCCACTACAGCATCATGATGGAGTGCGGCTGAACTGGGGTTAAACGGTGTTACCAAGGCAGAAGTGTTCCACAATGAGGTCTATATTTAGCAGCCAAACTTATATAGTGCTTTGCTTATTGGTTGACCATCTATTCTTCCATCTTGGTATGCCCTCATCATTTTCATGGAGTTCATTATTCGAAACATAGATTTTGGAGTGACTGAATACGAGGTCACAAAAAAGATTGCAGAGGTTCTGCATGTGTGCCCTGGCCCATTTGTGTCAGATGCTGATGCACAGCAGCATCTCATCGATTTTAGAGTCACACTTGAAAAGAATGAGTGTGGAGATGTTCATAACAAAGGCATCAGGTCACTCCAACTGCCCTCTAAGGACATACATCCAGGTACATCCCGAGCAATATGCTAGTCACCCTTGCAAAGGCCCCCTATGTGGATCCCGATATTGCTCAGAAATGGCAGGAAACGATTGATGTGTTACGTTCTGATTTCCAAATTGCTTTACTACAAATTGGTATGCTATAATATACCTTTTTTCTGTTGCCTTTGGATCATATGAAATTATTCATAGGTACATTCTATCACCCTCAAGGTGCTAGCCCATTAGATCCATGTGCCTTCAGTGTGGAATGGCAATCCAATCTTCTCAATGGGCTTGCCAGATGGTTAAATTTTGAATGTGAACACAAACTAATTTGTGTGAAGGTTTGGCATATAAACCAAAAAAATTATATCCCGTATTGATCCTATACTTGGCTAGGTCAGTGATCCGGCACAGGGACAACTGTTATACAGCCTGATTGTTACCTTCACCAATATCAACAAAATGGCTGTGGGCTATGATTTTGGTAATCAATGTAAGTATGGTGCTCATAGCTTGAAGATCTGAATGTAAAATCTGTTTAGACATATGCTTTGATCTGTTCACACCACCGATCATCAAACAAGAAGACTTCAACAGAACCCTTACCGGAACATACTCCGATAAGAAGAATTATCGCGAACGTGTTGGTGCTATACATCCAGGCCATGTGCAAATTGCTCCATCACGGTCACTCACCACATATGCATCATCCTCTCCGAACAAGGAGGTCTGGATAAGTTCCAGCAGTTCTGTAAAATCACAGAGCTTCATCCTCCGGTCTCTGAATTCTACATCAAAGCCATCTGCCAGGGATTTTTCATGAGAAAAAAACTGGCTTTGGTGCAAAGATGGCTGAGATCATTGAGCTCAGACTGGCCTGTAGCATTTCAGATCAAGGCCCTTCTCCGAAATGGTGTTGTAAATACAAAGGAACTCGAGGATTTGCACCCAAGGATCGATGAACTGATTCACCACCACCATCATGCGATACTTTGTGATAAAAGCTGCAGCTCGTCCTCAACAATCCACAAGTGCTTCGAGTTAGTAGTACAAGAGAAGCTTGGGAATGTCTGTCCTGGGGCACCTGCTGGCTGCTTTTATTGTCATTGTGTTACAGTCACTCCAACTTGGCTTATCCTCAAAGGGCCCAACATACTGCAATTGAATCGCATTATTTGCGAGTATGAAGGCTATGAAGGCAACTTCATTCGAGTTGACTTTCATGACGAGGATCATCTCCAGTATTGCTGGGATAGGGAAGTAGATGGGGGGAGCTTCATCAGGTGCAGTGTTGGGGGCTTGCTGAAGGATGGTTTTGAGCTTGCTGGCAAACAATTCGATTTCTTAGCGTACTCTTCCTCTGCACTGAGGGAGCATGCTGTTTGGTTCATTAGCTCCTTCCAGCACGACACCAAAGGACTGGTCACTGTGCACACAATAAGAAGTAGTTTAGGAGACTTCAGTGGATGCATTTATTCCCCCTCAAAGTATGCTGCCCGGATGGCTGTGAGTCAGCTATTTCCATCAATATATCCTCTAAATAGCCTTTCAGCAAGCCTTTATGGCGACAGATCCATTGGTCAAGATCCACCAGTCACAGTGGTCGGAAATGCCTGATATTGTCAAAAATGGCATTATGTTTTCTGACAGCATTGGTACTGTCAGTGATGAGCTTGGTGATTTAATCTGGCAAACTCTCTGCATTGCTCGGCGAGATGGTGGTGCGCATGCAGTGAAACCTTTGGCTGTAAGTGGTTTCACATTCAAAAGTGCTGTACTAAGCAAAGCTACAGTACCAAATCAGATTCCTTGGCTTTAAAGGTGTCGTGGCTGTTGACAAGCAACTCAAGGGAGTCCAACTTTGCCCATGAGAAAGTATGAACAAGTTTAAGGATCACAGGGAAGAATACACTATGATAGAGATTACTCGTCCCATTGTGAAACCTAACACTCCTTATCTTAACGGGTATCTACAAGTTCCTTATTGTTTCAGTTTTACAGTGTGGATGCTCAGGTGACTTGCACAGACCTTTAATCACAGTTCTAGAAGACCAGGGTGCCTCAAAAGATACTTTCATGGAGCTGCAGCAGAAGGTTGTTGCGGAGTCATGCACTGCTCACAACTCAGTTGATCTCTTTGTGGTGCTCTTGGAATGTCATGGATTGTCTCAATCTTTCCAATTCCAGGTGAGTGTAAGTTGTTTGATAGCTCAAGTGGACTGCAGGGCCTGGTGTCCAACAGGCACATCACTATTGCAGGCAAGTTTTTATTCTACAGGATCAAACACCCTTACTTATTATGTTCACCACAGATCAAGCTAGCATACATAGTGTCACCAAAGGTGTGCAGAGCTTGAACT